CCCCCCCCAGCACTATCAGTAGCACCTGCCGCCCCCCAGCACCATCAGGGCCCCTTAGTAAAAGAAATTAAGAGGCAACCATTGCTGACCTCTTTTACTAAAAATGCATTTGGTGAGCACAAATTGGATTTATATCCTTGGTGGCTATTGAGGAACATAATGAAATGAAAGGTTTTGTGCCCGGGGTCCCACTTTCAGTAAATCTGTTGATGTGCACGGCATGAGTAAATAACATGCCGATGTATTTGTTTATGATTTATGGCTATTAGTTGATTATTGATGACTTTGGAAATTGTATACCTGGTAACCTTGCCAATTTAAATATCTGTCACTGTCCTCGCAGGTGGCGAGATGGGAGTACAGGACGCACGCCCTTTCCAGGCTTTTCAGGTCTTCGTATATTGGCTGCTACAGTCTAGGAGCCGTTATTATATCCCTCGCGCTCTACAGAAGTCACTGGTAAGTCACCATACAACTTACCTTTTGTGTGCAATTATCCCAATTCACTAAACTATAACAATTGCCATTGGTCATAAGAGCCAGTGAAAGATGAATATCACAGTCATGTGACTAGACCAGAAGTGTGCTGGATGAATCCTCGGAGCCAAGTATACATTGAGGTCGATTTACTAAGGGGGTCAAGCAGGGGCGTCACCAGGCTGGGTGTCATTACATTACACGTGATGACTTTACACATGCGCGTAATGATGTCACGTGCACTTCACTGCCAGCAGCCATCTTTATGATGGATCCCAGCAAAGAGAGGAGGGGACGTTCATGCGGCGGGATAAGGTATGTTGCCGGGTCCCCTCCTCTCTCATAACCGAGTGCCCAACTTTGTGAGTGCCCAATCCTGGACAGTGTAAAATGTATATGATGAAGAAATGGAAAATCAGGTAAGCTTCAGTGAAAAGTGCATGTACAAGAGTCATGTGTATTCTTCTGGAATCTTGGTGAGCTTTGTGTATTTCTTCCAGATCTGTGCAGAAACTTGGAGCTTCCTGTAATAAAGACTGCTCACTGCTTGTGACTCTCCTTGTACAGGTTGACTGGTCTTGTCTCCTCCCCCTCCTGTAATAAAGACTGGTCACTGCTGCTCTCTCTCCTTGTGCAGGGTAGCAGGTCTGGTCTCCGCCCCCCTCCTGTAGTTTCCTGTAGTGGGTGGAGCCTTTTGGGTCCCTCCCACAGCTCTGCACAGGCTATATACAGCACAGTGATTGATGTCACTTCTACAGGGATCCCAACCTGAAAGAAGCAATTTTAGGGAGGTGCCCTTCTCATTTCAGGGAGGTGCCCTCTGCCCCCCCCCCCCCCCCCCCCCCTCCCCAGTGGAGGAGAGCACCCCCTGAAATGATGGCAGATAGCACAGGAAGCAATAGCTTCTTTACTATCTGCAGGTTTTTTTGTTTTGTTTTTTTTAGTATTAAAAAAAACCCCAACAACATAGGAATGCATAGCTAGATTCCTATTGGCTATTTCAATTTGCAATATACAATAGCAAGCTGGCTATTGCACCCGCCCTCTGCTGCTGTCAATCACTAGAAGAGGCCCTGATGGAGAACTTCAGGTCCCCCTTTGCTGATTGACAGCAGCAGTGGGCGGGTGCAATAGCTAGTTTGCTATTGGCTACTGCAACAGGAAGGCTATTGCAGGGTGTAATGCCGCCGACGGGGCAGCCTCTTGTTCGTCTGCCGCGGTCCTCTCCGTCCCACCGTGGAACGCGGAAGCCGCACGAACTCCGGGTTGTGACGCAGCGGCTGCGTTCCAAAATTGACCGCCGCCTCAGGAGGTAGGGAAATGCATATCTGCAAATTGACACATAGTCTCTGCCACCGCAATTCTTACATATACATTTGTCTCATCCTACAGGGGGATACCGAGAGGATCCTTGCTAAGGCCATCATAGACACCGGAGCCTGTGGCAACTTTATAGATTCACAGCTGGTTAAGTCCAATAAAATACCCCACACATTGAAGCAAAAACCGGTCTCAATTACTTTTTTAGATGGGTCCACATCCCCTTCAGGCCCGATCTCTCACCACACCCAACCACTGCTGGTGGCCTGTGGAGAGGGTCACATCGAATACCTTACGTTTGATGTCATCTCCTCTCCCATGTTCCCTGTAGTGCTGGGGCTTCCCTGGATCAGACTTCACCAACCTTCTCTTCTCTGGCCTAAAGGGGAGGTACAGTTGGATTCCCACTACTGTACCACCACTTGTTATCCAAACACTGCACTCATGCAGATCTCTCCCACGGGGCTACCTCCCCATCTTGTTGAATTCAAAGACGTTTTCAGCCAATGTGGAGCAGCCACACTCCCCCCACATAGACCCTATGACTGCCCTATTGATCTTATTCCGGGCAGTCCTGTTCCTACGGGGCGTATCTATCCGCTTTCCCAACCTGAATTAGCCCACCTGAAGGGTTACTTAGACGAGAACTTAAAAAAGGGATTCATAAGGCCGTCAACCTCGCCTGCTAGCGCAGGGATGTTCTTTGTAAAAAACAAAGATGGCGGATTACGGCCAATAATTGACTATAGAGGACTCAACAAAATTACGTAAAAAACCGCTACCCTCTTCCACTTATTCCCGAACTGATCGAGAGGTTACAAACATCCCGTATTTTCACCAAACTTGACCTCAGAGGCGCATATAACTTGATCAGGATGCGGGAAGGGGATGAGTGGAAGACAGCATTCAGAACCAGATACGGGCTGTTCGAGTACATGGTAATGCCTTTCGGACTGTGCAATGCCCCGGCGACGTTCCAGCATTTCGTTAACGATATTTTTCGAGATCTGCTGGACGTCTGCGTGGTGATTTATTTGGACGACATTCTGGTGTACTCGGACAGTCCTACCGAACACAGGAGTCACCTGAGATGGGTGTTGTCCCGTCTTCGGGCCCACTCCCTAGAAAGGTTAACTCTGCTCGATCGAGCAGAGTAAACCTTTCCTGGAGAAAGTGTTTCTCTCCTGGGCAGCCGGCAGCCCCTTTCTAATAGCGGGAGACTCCCGGAGCGTCCAGGAGAGTTGGGATGTCTGCTTCTAGTCAGGGGCGTAACTAGAAATCACAGGGTCCCATAGCAAAATTTTGTATGGGGCCCTGTGATTTCTAGTTAAGCCCACCTGATAACCCAAACAGCCCACCTGAGGGTCTCAGGTGGGCGGTCAAGCCCTTTTACCTGTCTGCTCCGATCCTCTGTCTGCCTCCTTCTCCTCCTCGATCGCCGGGCCCTGCCTCCCCATCACTAAGCCCCGCCTCCTCGATCGCTGGGCCCCACCTCCTCCGTCACTGCCGACGACGGGCCCAGTCACCTCCTCCAAAGTTGCTGGTTGTCACCGACTCAGCAGCGGCTGTGAGGAGGAACGCACTGCTGCACATGTGAATAGCGGCACGTTCCTCCTCACAGCCACCAGTAACAGCAGCCTGAGATGCCATAGTGACCCAGGCGGCCCGCACGGCATCAGGGGGATGTCCTGGCCGCGCCCCCCTGAGCCCCGGGCCCCATAGCAGCCGCCTGGGTCGCTATGGTAATTGTAACGCCACTGCTTCTACTATTACAAGGTAATATCTGGGTTTGGTGCTCACAAAGTAGATTTATATCCTCTCTGGCTATTAGAGGGATAATATTTAAATGAAAGTTGTTGTGCCCGGAGGCTTTTTTTGTCCTATTTGATTCAGTCCTAGAAAATCAGAAACCATGGCTTATAAAATCCGCTGACCATGTAAGAAAAGAACTCAGTTCTCAGGCTCTGTCACATTCCACTTTCTCTTTGTTGTGTCACCCAAATCTCCTTCCACATGTCATACTTGGATGGCCATCATATCTGACCCACACGAAGTGTATCCTGCACAGCTTTGTCTTGCCTGCTGCTACCATCAGCGTGCCAAGAAATGGAGGATTGTAAATACAGCTGATTTGGCAAATTGTTAGGTAAATGTTACCAAGTCTGTGTCTACAACAGAAACTGAGCCACCTCAGGCAATCAGGAGACGACTCATGCTATCCAGCCCCCATTACCTTCCTGTGACCGTAGTTTATACCTGGCGGCATGGAGGCTGTGGCCACAGGTACCTCTGAAGAATGAAGAGAGGCCTATTCCATCCACCTGTCATACTGCCCCATGGTTACACTTGGTGTCCTGTCCGGCCAATCAGGTTACTGCCTTAAACTACCTAATTCTTATATATTGTCTCCGAGCCACGGGGTGCGCATAACAGCATCAATTAACAGAGCCCCGTAGTAATAGAAACAAATAGGAAACCATTGCTTTTAATAAAAATGCTTCTCTCCTGGCTGGCATGCTGATCCACTTTCTTCAAGCTGAACTCCGAGATAAGAAAATGTTGTCTAAAGCAGGGGGTAGGCAACCTCGGCACTCCAGCTGTTATACAAGAGTCGTGTATTCTTCATGAATCTTGGTGAGCTTTGTGTATTTCTTCCAGATCTGTGTGATCCAGTGTGAGACTTTGTGCAGGCTCTTCCTGTAATAAAGACCGGTCACTGCTGCTCCCTCTCCTTGTGCAGGGTGACTGGTCTTGTCTCCGCCCCCTCCTGTAATAAATACAGGTCACTGCTGCTCTCTCTCCTCGTGCAGGGTAACTGGTATTGTCTCCGCTCCTTCTGTAGTTTTCTGTAGGCATCCTGCAGTGGGTGGGGCCTTCTGGGTCCCTCCCACAGCTCTACTCTCCAGACTGACTATGTGAATCACAGTGATCTGTACAGAAGCTTCCTATAATAAAGACCAGTCCTTGCTGCTCTCTCTCCTTGTGCAGGGTGACTGGTCTTGTCTCCTCCCTCCTCCTGCAGCTTTCTGCAGGCAACCGGTAGTGGGTGGGGCCTACAGGGCCACTCCCACAGTTATGTACAGGCTATCTTCAGCACAGTAATGATACCACTGCTACTTCTAAAAGGTTTGCAAAGGCGTGGTACAATATAACGGGCGGCATTAGGCAGAAACTGTCTTCCCAATGTGTCCTGTGTGTGGATAGTTTTATACATCTGTCTCGAAATACGTGACCTGAAAAATTTCAGTGGCATATTTTTCTTATGAAATGTTCTTTTTGAAATGAATGTTGGGACATAAAGACATACAAGGCTTGTTTTGTTTTTTTCTAGTTTTTCTTTTTTAGTACTGTTGTGCACACTTTTAGGCAACGTGTGAGGTCAAGCAATTGACAGCAGCTATCAAACTTTGGGTGGCCCCTGACTATCAAGCTGAAATCAAATAAGTACATCTAACAAATTATTCCTTTTCAAATGGTAATTTTGTTTTTCGTTTTCCTGGATTCAACCTTTCCAACTTCCAAAATAAGAATGTTACAAATTGTCCCTGCCACATCGGGCCAGTCTGTGGAGCTGTCAAAACAAATGGCAGGGAGGTGAGTCACTCTGCTGCCTCTCTGCTATTTTCAGCTGTCAAATACCGGAGCGCTATATAGCGCTCCCG